ACACATTAAAATCAAAGCTCGCGTGTGCTCGTTACACAAATTGTGCGCTAACTATGAAAACACTATAAACCACCTTATCTGCCCAATTAATAAAGTTCATTATCCAAAGACTCAACGGGACTAAATTTCCGCTGTCTGTTAAGCTAATTGGTGGGTAAACCCTAAGTCGTAGATTTAATTAAACAACAACCGTACACATACTCGAACTTGTTCAAAGGACAGATTAATTGAATCTTAACTCGTTTGCTCGTTTGAACCGAAATTAAGATTTTGCAGTCGATTGCTTAAGTTCAAACTCTCTCAGCCAGGAAAACTTGAAATGATATAGCTATGTGGGAAATGGGGGTACTCCAATGAATAACACAAGAGTAAAATAATGTGATAACTGGTTGTATTTCTCTCGCTAGAATAGTTACACGTCTTAAACTATAATAGTTACACAGTTAGTTCGTCTTCCGTCTTACGTCGTCCACAACACACATCCTCTTTTTTTAAACATTTAACCCTATACTTGGAAACGACGGTTTTGGTTAATATTTGTGATTTGCACTATAAATATTGGATTTATGACGAGTAAAAATCATTTAAAAATACGAAAAAAAATCTTAGGTATGTAGTTTTGGAAATATAGTATGTATCTTTAAGTGCACATTGCCAGCTTTTTAGTAAATTAAAACATGGTTTATTTGTTAGTAGAAATTAGTTATTTAAATGAAAATTACTACAAAACCTTAGGCTATTCCTTATTTGAAAAATAAAAAATAAATATCTTTTACAAAAAACTGAAAACAAACTAAAAAAAACACTTCAAAGTCTGTAACGCCTTGTAAGTATAGCTGCATTTGGATGTATGAGAACCACTCCATCAGCGTCGTTGGAGTACCTCCTGAACCTCGGACCCCTCTTACCATCCAGGAGAAGCAAATGCAGAAAGAGCACATGGGAATCTTGTAAGACCATTAAAGAAATACGAGGGGTATTGATGCCAACTGGTACCGAACTGTGTTCACGTCTTTAATTGAAGATAATTAGATATCCAACTTACAGTGGAAACGCAAGATAGCGGAAATGGATCTCTAGAACTCTCAGGGAAACTATGCAGCAGTCGAACCGGCTAAAATTCTTCAATCACCAGCTTTATAACCGGAAGCATGCAGCAGCCTGGACAGGCTGCTCGCTTTTTGGGGTGATTTGGGTTGGTTTGAGTAGGAAGATAACCACCCAACAGAACCAGGAGGCTTAGTGCGGCTTCTAATTCATCAGCTGAAGTGTCACCGCTACTGACTTTCGACCTGGTTCAAGATTTTGGAACCATAACCAGCATTTTGCGCGCCTGATTTTGTTGCTGCAGCACTAATGCTGCATTTCTATATTCAATCCTAATCCAAATTATACGGATTTGGATTGTCAACTGTCAAATTTTAATATGTTTTTGGCCAAAATAACTGCGGTTTTTGATGTTTTTATATTTTTATATTGTTTATAAGACTATTTAAACAATATTAAAGTGTAAATGCATCGAAAATTTTGGAAATATAATCTAAAACTGAATTCAATTTGACAGTTGTAATCCGGATTTGGAGAAGGATTGAATATGGGGATCGGGCGTAAGTTGTCCAAAAAACAACGATTCTTTAGTACATGGATTAAAACTCATATCAGTATATTATAATTTACGGCTTTAAATATTAATAACTAATAACATATCCCTTTTTTATGCGATAAGATCTATGAAAAAATCATAAAATAAAGTCAACGAGAACCTGGCAATGTGTCTTTAAAGATACATTCAAAATTTAAAGTAAATTATTACGTATCTGACAATGTGCATTTAGAGATACATTCCGACAATCCGCATCGTACAAGAATAATTATACAAGTTTTGGGATGAAAAAACAGCACTATCATCAAATAATCACCAATATTCTTTAAAAAAACACCGAAAATAATAAAAATTATCAGCCGGTGCGTAGACGCCTGTCAACGGTCTGACATTTTGAATATTACTGTTAAATCTGTGCAGCCTGTAGCGATTCTATACTGTGTAACACAATCTGTAGTATTTGGGCTAACGTTATTATTAATAAAACTTTTGAAAATAGTTTTTGGTTTCTCCCCCATATTTTTGTTTTGGTCAACGTATCTTTAAATGCACAATGCCAAGAAAAGAGTTAAACCACTATTTCTCGTTCCTCATTCAATTTCATCACTTCCGTTTCCTGCATAGACCATCACTCAGCGTTCAAATTATAAACTATCTTTCATCCGTCATCCCACTGATTCGTTACACACCAAACTCGTTAATCCTACAGCTATTTGTGTAGGATTATGTTCAGTTTATATTACAGTCGACAGTTCGTAAGACCACATAATTTTTTGTCACAAAATAAATGACTCAAGCCAGCAAAAATACGATGTTTGATTTTGCATGAAACATTAAGGAAGTTAGCTAACTTACATTATACGCGTACTTACTAAAATTATACCTCCGCATACTTATATGTTTTTCTTTTTTTAAACAATTAGATTTGCTACAACATAGTTCTTATAGGGTTAAAACTTAATTTCTAGTTAATGTAACTATAAGGCTGGGTTGCAACATCTTATTTTAACTTTGACAATCGTCAAAAATCTTTCAAACTCCATACAAAATACAACATCGGTTATCGTTATTGTTACGGGCAAATTTAGGTGGTGCTTGTTACCCAGCCTTAGCCTTTTTTGTTATACTGGCCACCAAGTAAGGTTTTTTCTTTTTTATTGCTTAAAAAGTGGTAGTTTTTTGTTTTTTTTCCCTTTTAAGTTTTTGAGAAGCACAACTCGTATAATCGCATCAATCCACTATAAACAAATTAAAAGCAAAATTCCAAACAGCTGTAACCATTCGAAATTAGTCAATTGTCCGGGACAATGCAATTTAATCACAACGTTCATTGTTCTGAAAAGTGCTCTGAAAGTTGAAGAGTTTATAAGTAAGCCGAATACAGTAACGTCATTGCCTACATTTCGAATGCGGCCATTTTCGAATTTTTAAATTTAGATATCGATTTGAATGAGACACAAATGAAAAAATAATCATTGTAATGAATAATCATTACAATGATTATTTTTTCATTTGTGTCTCGTTATGTGTGCTCTGAAAAAAAAAATCTATGAAGATTTTATTTCTTGAAAGTAGCCGCTAGGGGCGCTGCAAAATATGTCATACATTTAATGTCATTTTTTTTTTTACGCAGTCGCTAGCGAGCACACCTAGCGTAAACTCATGGTAAGCACACAGATGAAAGCGCGNCCTGATCCTAATTTCCTAAATTTAAATCCGTTGCCGAAAATATTTTAATCTCCCCGTTTCCCCGTTTTACTCGACTCTGGCACGGCGCATACTGCGCGGATTGCCATAAAAAAAAAAAAAAAAAAAAAAAAAAAAAAAAAAAAAAAAAAAAAAAAAAAAAAAAAAAAAAAAAAAAAAAAAAAAAAAAAAAAAAAAAAAAAAAAAAAAAAAAAAAAAAAAAAAGCACACAGATTCGGGCTTCGGCCGAATAGACAATAGATTCGTAAAAAGTTGACAGCGTTTAGTTATTAATTAGTTGAGAAATATACTAAGAAAGGGGTAACTTAATAAGTCATGTAGGTCTTTAAGTATTTCTCGCAAAAAAAATCACAAGAAAATACTTATAATTTCAAGGAATTTCTAAGGAAGTAACAAGCAAAGGGTCTACTGCTCAAATAATATTATTGAGAAAAAACTTGACAAAGGGTATTTTAATGACAGAGCAAAGCAATTTTAACTTGATTTTAGACTTGCCTTGGGAAATTTATCTTCATTGTATGTATTGTATGCATTTTCTTTTCTCAGATGAAAAAAAAAAACAATACTTACTTATAGTCTACGTAAGAGCATACATGAAGGTTCATTGAATTTTTATTTAACGAAGAAAAAAATACATTACATAGCTATTGCTAAAACTAAATCTATGGAAGAAAAGCTACAGAATTGAAACATTAAGCGCAGAAAGTCCAGTCACGACTTGATTTCAATTCAAATACAGGCATGACCTAACTGCTGATTTGGCAAAGCCTTTTCTATGTCGCTATTACCACTAACCACACGGGACCTCTGTTTCGTAAGGTCAAAAGGATAGTGTGCGAGTTAGGCATTAAAATTCATACGGTATCTGTAATCAGACCTTCTGATGTTAATTAGTTTGTGGTATAGGTCAGGCGGGTCGAAGTTCACGGTGAATGTGGGGTAGACTGATTTAATGCTGTTTATAAATGACTCGTGGCGGTAAAAGTACGATATTTTTGTTCTGCATGAATCATGGAGGAAGTTGACTAACTGAATTAATAAATTAGAGCAACGCGTACAGTACTTACGTTTTCTTTTTTTTATAAACAAAGATTGCTACAACAGAAAATTTTATATGTAGGTATAACAAAAGAGGTTTGAACGTGATGTTAGCTAAATAATTTAAAAAAATAGTTACTTAATGTCACGTTAGAACCTCTTTTGTTAAACTGGCCACTAAGAAAGGTTTTCTTCTTTTTTATTGAAATTGTAATTTATTAGCGATCGTTTTTTGTTTTTTTTTTCGTGACATAAAACAGATTTAGATTGAACAAACAGTAACTTTTCGTATCTTGAGATTTAATTACTAAATTTTAATTTGTTGAGTTCGATTGGACCACTTCAACAAAGTTTTATGATACAAACGTCGCTCATGCTTTTTGATAGAGGTTTAATTACCAACATCTAAGTAGTGACTGATGAAATGTGACCCAATATTTGGAAAATACTTAGAAGTAATTTTGCAGGTTTTGTCCTGTATTTATTTATAGCCTGGTGGCGTGTTAAGTGCAGTGTTATAAATATTTGAATGCATTCGCCCAGAAAGCCCTTTTTGGGCGTGGGTTCGTTTCCTGCCCTAGGCAGTTCGAATTTTTCAAGTTAATTATAATTTGGTAAAAGTATTGTTTTTCAAATGAGTTTTTATTTACAGGTGGCAGTAAAAGGGCTACACGAGTGACAGTAGCAACAGCCGTCGGTATCTGGATACTGGCTGGTTTGCTGGCCACCCCCGCTTATGTCGGCTCTTACCTAAGGGCGTTTGTCGTCAACCCTACCACACAGGTGAGTAAAATTTATATTGTTGTTGCAATTCACGAAGGCGAGTGAGCTTTACAAGTGACATTACACTGTAAACTGTTTGTATACCTATTACAAATAAATAAATAAATATCGTTATGTGCATGTACACGTACACACACAAGTAAAGCTCACTCGCCTTCGTGAGTTGCAAGAACTATAAGGCCCAGAACAGACGGTGAAACGCAACTGCAACGAAACTGCAACTGCTAGTTACTTTTGAGTTGCATCTAAGTTTCTGCCATAGCGTCCGTTGAGAGACCACACATGACGCAACCAGTTTGAAACTTTCAGTTTCAGTTTCAATCATCAGAATCATCAGAAAGTTGCAGTTTCGTTGCAGTTGCGTTGCACCGTCTGTTCTGGGCCTAACTGTTCATCATCATCAGCCCATGCTAGTAGTCAGTGCCAGCACTATAGCATCTCTCATATCGTGCCATTTTACCTTAGCTTCTGCCACTGAATCTTTAAAAGTTGTCACTTTAAGGGTGAAAGGCATCTTAGGATCAAGCTTGCAAAGGCGCGGTGAAAATGATTTCATTTTCTAGTAACATTATTACATTTCTAGAAGAAAATTAGCTAATTAAATAACCTCTCTCCAAATAACAAAAAAATAATACTATAAACAACTGAATATATTATAGAAAAACAGAATTTATGTATTATAGCGACATAATAATGTACTCACAACGGGCAACTGATAAAGATCATAAATGTTAGAAAATATTTTTTGGATAATGACTAACTTATAAATGACATACCTTTTTCTCGTATTTATCTTTCTGTATTCTACTGTTGCTATCGGCAGGTGAAATCTTTTTCTTGTGAGTTGTTTTGTAAGAGGATTATACCTCATACAATGGTTTAATACATGTAGTAAAGGCAAGGTTACTTTAGTTGTAAACGAGACAATAGTCTCAGCTCGGCGCCTCGCGGTCGTCAAGGTATTAAGACTATTAAGTGCTTAGTTAAACCTTGTCTTGAAGTTGTAAAGCTTCAACCACACCAGCGCGTACAGATTGTCATCGCCGGCGCGATCATAGGCCAATGCCAGGTCGCGCGACCCATGACAGTCCGCGCGACCTGTCATTGGCCTGTGATCGCGCCCGATTCGACCAAACTTTTATCCGAGAATAACTCCTGGCATAACTGGCACATTGACAGTTTCGGTATGGGAAATATGTCAAAATGTCGAATAACTTACGATTTATTCTGAGATTAATACTTATTTACTCTTGTTTAGTCGAATCCACCCTTAGTGATATAAGTAAATACAATATTTTTAAGAGCAGTTATTAAAGTAAGAAAGAAGTCTGCCCGTCTGCTCGATATAACCAACTGACCGGAGCGGTTGAGTCTCGAATAAAATATAAGAGACAGTAAAAATAAAAATATTAGCAACTATTGACGTTTATTTTTAATTAAAATACCTATGTGAGGATTACGTCAATTCGTGCTCAATATGTAGCATCTTATGTTATCGTAGGTACTTATATCCTGAATCATTGCTGAAATTATTAAGTCAGTATTAGTGATCTTGCCACATAAAAAACCGACAACCGAAACATACATGATTTTTACATTACCTATCTTTGCGTGTATTCAAATAGGTCATAACCAAACAATAACTACATAATATTAGGTACTACAGATTACTAGCTATTAGGTCAAATAACAGAAGTACTTTATTTTCAAGTAAACGTTTTTAATTTGTATGTCAATTTACCTATCTAAATTAGTCGTTGATAGATAACGTTTAAAAGCCAATTAAGACTGAATTTTCATGTCGCGACAAAGCTGAAAAATAGCGTGTCATACGATAAACATTAATGAGCAATAGAAAGTAACATAGGTAACACCAAAACTCTGTTACTAACTGGTTCTGCAAAAGTTTTACTCGCGATTCCTCTGAAATTTAAGCCTCAGCGAATGCACGCATGTAACTACGATGTTGTTAACTTGTTACACATCCATTGCTTATGGTTTATCGTAGGCTAAGTTTAGTAGAGTTTCCCAGATTCTCACCCTAATTCTCTTTTCAGTTCCTCGTCTGCTACCCCTACCCGCCAGAGTGGGGGGAGAACTACCCCCGCACGATGGTGCTGATCCGGTTTCTGGTGTACTACTCGCTGCCGCTGGCCGTCATCGCCCTTTTCTACGTGCTGATGGCGCGCCATCTCGTGTTGAGTACGCAGAACGTGCCCGGTGAGATGCAGGGCACGCAGAGACAGGTTAGTAACTAGAGTTATCCCCGCACGATCGTGCTGATCCGTTCTTGGTGTACCTACTACTCTTTGCCACTGGCCATCATCGCACTGTTCTACGTGCTAATGGCGCGCCATCTCGTGCTGAGCACGCAGAACGTGCCCGGTGAGATGCAGGGCACGCAGAGACAGATTAGTAACGAGAGCTATCCGCACGATCGTGCTGATCCGGTTCCTTGTGTACTACTCGCTGCCACTGGCCGTCATCGCACTATTCTACGTGCTAATGGCGCGCCATCTCGTGCTGAGCACGCATAACGTGCCTGGTGAGATGCAGGGCAAGCAGAGACAGGTTAGTAATGAGAACTACCCGCACTATCATGCTGGTCCGGTTTCTGGGGTACTACTCACTGGCGCTGGCCGTTATGGTGCTATTCTATGTGCTCAGTGGCGTAGCGTGGCTTTTCGCCGCCCGGGGCCGTCCGGAAATCCGCCGCCCTTTATTTTAATTATATATATAAATAAAATATTTTAAAGTTTAAATATATTGAANGTATGTGCTAATGCATAGATAGTCATTGTTGTGTACTTGTGAATGAATCTTGAACACTTAATAAAAAAAATCGCTAAAGTTGCGTACATTTATGTACTTACCTAAATTAGAAACTTACCGAAGCGATCCCAAGATTGAATCGTAAATGTTACATTGTCTAGAATCCCTAATGTGGCCTGATTATAACGCTTGAGAGAGTTTTGTTAAAATGAAACATCGATTCCCGCTTTAGGCAGTGCGATTTTTTGCAAGGTTTATGAAACCCAATAAAATCGTCACTGGCAGTTTCTTAATTCAAACGTTTAAGCATGAATTGAAATTGAATTATTTATGAATTAATTTGTAATATCGGTTTCATCAAGAAAAGGTTATGGCGTTTTCCATGGGACCAATGTGACCTCCAGCTGTATCGATCACTTAAGCCAATGAAGTGTAATAAGTAAGCTCAGACACGCCCACATAAGGTTATTTTGATAACCTATGAAGGTGTAGATTGTAGAGGTATTTCAGTCTAGTTACATTTATTACTTCGATAAATAAATTCAACAAATACCAACTGCCCTGACAAAGAGATTAATTAATCCACGTATTTTACAATTTACAAACATTCAGTCGAGTTTAACGCCACATGAAGACTGAAACGTAAATTATTTGATGACACTTAACAATCTAAACAAATCTGTTAAAATGTTTCGGTTTCACTAATTTTACTCTCAAAATTTATTTATTTTGAAAGGCTTTTAATGTTTATGTTAATTGACCACCGTCTGGCAAGTTGGAACATTTATAACATGTTTATTAAGTGCATTATCTCTGGCAGAAACTTAATTAGCCAAAGTTTAATTGGTTGCTCTAACCACATCGGGCGAACTCTACAGGGTGGAAAGAATAAGTGATCTCACTCGATTATTTATAAACTACACAATATATCGAAAAACTGGTTACTGATCCTGAAAGTGCTTCATGAGCTCTTTCAAACGGTACCTGGAAACACTGAATTTTCAGATAGATCCAGTTTATTCTGTAATCTTTTATTGATACCGTTTGTTAGATCTCATGAAGCACTTTCAGGATCAATAACTAGTTTTTTGATATCTTGTATAATTTAGAAATAATCGAGTGAGAACACTTATCGTTTCCACCCTGTATAACTAATTAGTTTTTATGATATTTCGCTTGGGTATCTATAAGAGCTCAAGAGAGAAACGCAGAAATTTGTTTTGTTTGGCAAAAACTTCTATGCATTACTAGACAGGCTGCTCTGAGTGAAGTTATTTGCTCGCTTAGATAAATAGACACTTATCAAAAACTTATTTAGTCGATTACCAGCGAGCTCTCGCTCGTCGGAGCAGACGTGTTTTGGTTCGCTAAAGTTGTAGTCGACAAAATAATGGTAGTATAATAGCGACAATAATGTTCGTCCACGTCATAATATAAAGTTATTTTAGGGACCTAGCACACGCTATGATATAATCTTTATTTGGTTGGAACTGCTTGTCTAGTATTTCGAACATTTTATATCAAGTTTTTGTAGTTTATAAAAACCTTGGATTTTCAAACCAAAATGCGAGGTAGGAATTTGGCACGTATCCGTAAAAATATCAAGCTGACATGTTTGTTCTATGTTCTGGGATATTTCTACTGTCACAAATAGTTTAGTTGTTTCAAAAACTATTTGATAACTTTGATATTTGTGAAAATAAACAGCAACACAAGCCGACATGATTTTAACTGTACCAAAATGTTGACATACATACATTATATCTATAGGAGGATTTCACATGCGTAGGTAGGTATCGTAGATATTAAATCTTATTGCACAAATTCTGTTTTACCAAATCCTTATGAAAATGAGTAGCAAAATTAAACACATTTACATATTTGCTCGAGGAAATATCCATTATTAATTGCCGAAGGAAAAACAAATAAAAGCTCGTCAAAAATGAAACCGTTTATTAATATTTTCCGCCCATAAAAAGGCAAATTCCTATTCATTTCCTCACAAAAGAAGTAATAATTCGCAAATGTACGTTCTAGAAACAATAGATATTTTCTGCGTTCCGAATAATTATTCACTGGAAAATTGTACGATGAAACTTGAAATTGTTTTGATCAGAAATCGGAAGCGAATTTCAGATACTCTGCAAGCTACAGACTTGGATCGGCTTCGAATTTGTACTTCCATACTAATTAACAGCCCGACCAAACTATCGGCCAACTAAAAGTCCACAGTCTGCGAACTGTCTTGGTTTGACATTAATTTCGGGTATGCAGATTATGAAGAACAATTTGAATTAGAAGTCTAAAATCTAGAATGGGAAAGGGCAATTCTCAAGAATTCTAGATCCAAACTCGATAGAAACACAAAACCAGCCTAAAGACACTGATTGGCAAGGATCCTGAAGCAATCATTTTATTCTGGATTGATTTTCTAGGAAACCGTCGTGAAACCTTAAAAACTAGTTTATAATTTAAATACACAAATGGTTATGGAAACTGGAGACGAAAGATTAAATAATAGGTATTAAATTATAGTTTTGAAGCATATTTTTGCGTAATTTACAATGGTCATTGTGATGGTAACGATAAAATATTAAAGATTATCATAATTTAGAATTCTTCAAATAGTATATTGTGGACCAATGATATAGACAATGAAGGAAATACAAACACACAAATGAAGGAAGTAACAGTTTATCTAATAAAAATAAATAAATTAAACAGTTAAAAACTCAGACATAGTAGAAAAATCTATGAGTTTCAAGTTAATAAAGTTCTACGACAAATAAAAACAGCTATGAGATTTGAAAACTGATTTGTGTCATTAAGAAAAGTCGGGATTAGTAGAAAATAATGACTTACTCGATTGTTTTCTCGGAAAGACTCCAGGATTATGAAAGAAAACATCTTTCGTCTCAATGGACTTGACCGGGGATTAGGAGTCGATAGGATTAGGAGTCGCTCGCAACGCAACCGAAGTAAATTAATTATTTTTTTTGTATTCAACTTCGGTAAACGGACTAAAGTCTCTGACATATCCCGAAGGATTAGCAAGCTGAAGTGGCAATAGGCTGGGCACACAGTACGCAGAACAGCAGAACTGACGGCCGATGGGGCAGCAAGGTTATGGAGTGGAGGCCGCGTACCGGAAAACGCAGCGTGGGACGTCCACCCACAAAGTGGACCGACTGCATCGTAAAGGTAGCAGGAAGGTGCTGGATGCAGGCCGCTACCAACCGGGTAACATGGAAAGCATTGAGGGAGGCCTATGTTCAGCAGTGGACGTCCTATGGCTAAGATGATGATGATGGCAATATTTATTAATTTTTTCACGTGCATTTCGAAGTTTTGACACAAGTCGATTCGACACAGGAAAAAACAATAATATTATGTATTATGTCGATTTGTCATACTAAACTCGTCGTAAATTAACGTTTATTTACTCACGTTTGTGACGAATTTATTTCAATGTGTTTGATGATGCCAAATAGACAATAACCCTTTTTGGGGAGTAAAACCTGTTGACCTTTGTAATTTAATTTACAATTTTATCTTTTTCCATCAGGCTAGAAGAATGTGTCCTATAACATTTCAAACGATTAATATCGTGTTTGTTCACAGATGCGGGCGCGGAGAAAGGTCGCCCTCACAGTGTTGGCCTTTGTGCTCGTGTTCGCCGCGTGTTTCCTGCCCTCACACGTTTTCATGATGTGGTTCTACTATTAGTAAGTGAACTAAAATAAACAGATTTTAAAACAACAAATGTTTTAACTAAACAAAAAAAAACTTAATGTTTGCTCAATAATGAAAGCGTGTCCGTGAGTCAAAGAGGCGAGAGGATGCTGACTCCATTTCCTCGCTGGATAGCAATACTAAGCCTTTGTGGAAGGCAAGGCCAACATTTCTGCAAGGCCAGCATTCTTCCAGAATTTTTAACTTAGTAAACTTGATCTTATCGATTAGTCCAAGCAAACTAGCAGGTATTTCCATTCCAATCCATCTGAGTATGAATGAGCCTACAAATGAAAGTCTAAACGATATCGATATTTAAACTATAGCTAAACTTAGGGACTACACAACAAACAGAGAATGGGCAGCAGCGCTCTCTGAAAAACATCAATCTTTTAAACTGCGATCTCCAACCCGCCTGCCAAGCGTGGAGATTATGGCAAATCCCTCCACCATAGTGGAGGAGGCTCATAGTCCAGCAGTGGACTGTAAAGGGCTGTTGATGATTGATGATTGATGATGAAGGAAAATCTCTTTCTTTATATTTTTGTACCCTGAATGTGTATTTTCCTTTATTTTGTTTGTCAGCCACATGTCGTTTTTATTTGGATTGAGTTTGCTTGAATGATATGAACCATCCTGTAATTATTAATTCACATTTGTTTGATGTTTGGGCCCTTATTTGTTGTTTTTTTACGACAAAATGTGACGGGATGGGGGAAAACAAACAGAAATATCATTTGCAGTATTTTTTTATATTCTCTGTGTATTTTGAGCATTCAGATCAGGTATTAAAAATAACAAAAATATTGCAACAAGCTAAGTGAGAGACATACTCCGTCCGTTAGGTTCGTTTAGTTGCCTCTAAGTCCGTCCCTACTCCGTGCTCTCTTATATGAGATCCGGTAGTATGAATATACTTTTAAGGTCGATTCACACACATCCGTGAAGCCACAGATCCGTCAACGCGTTCGCTTTGTATTTTGTATGACTGATTATGTGTAGCGTCAATGATTCAACATACATGGCTGTACTCAAAAGGTGATGCATGATTAGGAAAGCTGACCCCGCGTAACGGTATAAGGCGAGGCAGAAGAAGAAGATGTTAGCCTAGACTCAGTTTTATTTTATTTTATTTGGCATTTCTTAGGAAAGCTTCCAGCTAAATGTTACATTAAGTAGTTCACGGAGTTTCAGTGATAAGTCCATGATTTCCAGTGTCGGATCTGACACTGAAGGCACTGTGTCGTCACTGACACTGACAAGACGTGAGAATGTTCATAGAGAATGTATGAAAGAATATTTCGCACTGTGCCGGTACTGTTACGGAACTCGAATGTATGAAAGAATATTTTTTCTAACTGAGCCGGAACTGTGACGGACCAGAAATGTGTGAATCGACCTTTACCCTTGATTAATCAACTTGATATTCCCTCCTCCTAAGTTTATCTTCCACTAATGAACATCGTGACTCTGACTATTTTCTTCCCACCAAAGATTGATGAACGACATTTATATTTTGGCACGCTTTCCTCATTTATAAGTTATTGTTAAACCTATTTTTGCATAAGTAAAAGTGCCGATATACAGTGTGTCCGGGCATGTAGTGATCAAACTTTAAAGGCGTAATCTATGAACAATTTTATCGATGAATATACTTCAAATTTGGGGCTTGACCCATTTCTCGAAAAGTTACATCGATTTATTTTTTTAATTTTTAGTTTACACCTCTTCTTTAAAAAAACAAGTGAAAGCGTGGGTAGCTTAACATTAATAGGCAAATATTTTATATCATGCGATAGCCAATAAAATTATCTATTAGTAGAAGAAGAAAAGAGACACAAATTTCATACATTTTATGGGAGTAAGAATGGATTGAATTAGAAAAATACATTACTTTTTTCACTTCTTTTTCAGTTATTTTCCAACACAAGAAAAACCGGGTCGTTAAGGTATGTTTTATTTACATTGTATTATTAGTATTTGAGCTATTCTACAAAACGAATGTAAATTTATTAGTCTACGTCTATTAGTTTCGACGTAATTGTTGAACAAAGATACCCCTTCCCAGCGGTTTCNTTCCCATTTGTCACGTATCTCGTCAATTCGCAGGCTTCTTACTTGTCGGTGAAAAGCTCTGAAGTTCGTTTGTTGTAGAGATAAAAGTTCGGCGGCCTGACCCTGATCTGAAGATGTCGTCAGCGCTGTCGACGTAGACGGCATCGTGAGTCTTGGCTGTAGCTTAGGTGGTGTCGGCAATGTAACCGTTTCAGGTTGCACGAACTTGGGCAGCGCTGCAGGAGAAATTGATGCAGCGGTTTCACTTGCAGGAGGAAACGACGATATCTTGTTACGCACAGAATCGAAGTATGTTCTTGCTTGTCGGTATTGATCTTCCACGAAGTAAGGATCCTTATCGTTTTCATAACTCGATAACTTGTGGTCATTGCCTTGAAACTCGGCCCATAACTTGTCAAGGGTGTCGAGTCGTTCATCCAAGTACTTACGAGTCTTCCTGATAGCGGAATCCTTGTTAAAGTTGCGTTCTACCTTCTTGATCGCTTCAACAATGTCGTGTTGGCGCTGAAGTAGACTCTCCATGTTTGTGGTTGATCATGTGGTGACACTTCCGAAGATGAAGATTTTTCACACACTGGTTTGTATGTTGATTGATGATACTTTCTCGCAAGTCGGCGTGAAAGTTTGATGCAGTGGTCCGGGATACCTTATGTCCTAGTGAACTAAGTACGACCTTATGCGCCTTCTCAATTAAACCGGGGATTCCCTCTTCCGGGAGGCCAGTCAACCGATTCGCAGTCGTAAAAAATCCACAAAAACACAAAGTACCTTTAGCGTAGGGCCACTGTTGTAAGGATAGAAGTCCCAAGCGTCGATGGAACCTCAATAGTTGTTTGATGATGTAGATCGCAGCATCCCCCGAGCGTCGACGAGAGATGAGGATCACGTTGTTGAGTTGTTTCTCGAAGGACCAAAGAAACTGTAGCGTCTTACAGTTACAGGATGAGTGCCGACGATTTGTATGGGATAGTTAGTGTACGAAACCAAACCCAATGATAGTCGTAATAACACTGATTTATTTCACATAACACAATTATTTATAAAATGATAGAATAGCAGAAGTACGAACGTACGTGACGTATAAAAGTGTGCATAATTGCTATTTCTAAGTGACCTAGATTAGGTATGTCGTTGACATTAACATAATATGTGCGGTAACCCGTACACCTTAATTTCTAATTTTTTCTTCTAATCAGGGAAGCATAACGCTGACAAGAAGATACCTTCTCAATTCAAGGAGATACTTGTATTATGCCATCTGTGTAGGACTTAGATGATCTTGTAGCTTCTTTATGGAGTCATTTTCCAAGATGTTCCAAAACAGATTTCAGATTCCAGCAATTTCCTCCTTACAAATGGTCAAACCTCTCTCTAGGTGTACTGCCATGTCCACGGAAATAACGAACAGTTTTCTTTCCAGGGAGCCGCAGTAACAGACGGCAGATTGCGAGCTGGTGATCGACTGGTCTCAGTGAACAAGGTCTCAGTAGCGGGACTCACGCAGCAGCAAGTGGTTTCATTGCTGAGAACTACGCCCACCGACTCTACCGTTGAGATTGTTGTTGAGAGGAACGCGCCTCATCGGACACAGGTAATTAACTAGTCACTGTTTACACTACTTCCAGAACGCCACACAGCTGGACATAACTTACTTTTTCTAATGTTCCTAATGCTGTAGCCACTTCTGATAAAATCGACATTTAGCACGGAACTACCAATAAAGTAAATGGACTCGTTTCAAACATACATACTACCAACGGTAAGAGACTGGTGTCAATGAACATGGTCTCATTGCCGGACTCGCGTAGCATTCTATTCAGTCATTGGCTCATTTACAACTACTTCCCACAACATCCCAAAGTCTATTATTCACCGATCGTGTGCCGGGATTACAGAAAACTATGTGAAAGTCATTGTGTCTCGTCCAGTAGGCCTAAGATGTGCGCCGCGATAAGCGGTTATCACGCCATTTTATCGATTTTGCCCATACATTTTGGCGTCGATAAAAGTTATCACGGCGCGCATCTTAGGCCTACAGAGGTTAAACCAGCCATAGGTTTTACTAGACACGTACGAAATAAATCTCGGTTCATTACTGGATATTCTACATCATCTTTTCGTTCCATCTTTAGGAATAGTATTGAAATATCTAGTTCAAAGTAGTCCAAGAAAAACTTGTGCGTCAATCTATTTATAAAACAACCCTTAAATTTGATCAATTTCGAAATACATAACATCTTTTTCCTGTTTCAGAGGGTAGAACCCCAGCAGAGCCCACAGAAGTACATAGAAAAAGCGATCGGTTCACCCAACACCGTGAACTCAATAGAGGTGAAATCGGAAAACGGGCGCGTGTCTAGCATAGTGAATGCCATCAACCAGAACAACAGCTCAATGCGGGGCCGGATACCGAAGAGCTCGTCGAAGGACGATCTGCTGAAGGAGAACGATAACGCGATACAGGACACTTTGAATTCTTCGAGCAATTCGGTAAGTGGCCAGAAGTTTTCTATATTCCGATAAAATTGGTTATGGATTCCAAATAATTTAACTATTCCTTGTCTACTTAATATTTACTAGTTTCTAAATGCCGATGGAAATGGGTTATTTACATAGCATTGAATTAGCCATGTGGTTTTGGCACAATAAAACAGGATTACCCTTAGTAAGGTCGTCGAGAAGGGCCACTAATACGAACATGGGGCTACCCCATCCTGTCTGGCCAGCTTGGGTAGGGTAGGCAAAATCCTCCATTTGCCTCTAGTAAATGAGAGAGACATGCTCCGACAGAATTAATGACCTGACGATGATGCCAGTTGCATTTTAAGGCATGCATGCATCAGGCATAACAATACTACAGGCTACTATAACGATGGTTTCTGCCAACCTTATCAAAATTGCTATCTTCTCTTCCAGGTGCTAGGTCCTCGGAACAGGCTAGTCTTAAGGCTGGATGTCCCAGTGCATGACTCCGAAAAGGCTGGCCTTGGCATCAGCGTGAAGGGCAAGGTGACGGTGGGCCCCGACCCTCAGGATCTCGGCATCTTCATCAAGTCAGTACTGCACGGTGGAGCGGCGTCTAGAGACGGGAGGTTAGTATCAGAACCATAGGTATCCTTTTCCAGGAGTAATATTTGTCCAGGACCTAGGTCTCACCATCATCATCATCATTTCAGCCATAGGACGTCCACTGCTGAACATAGGCCTCCCCTAATGCTTTCCACGTTGATCGATTGGTAGCGGCCTGCGTCCAGCGCTTCCCTGCTACCTTTACGATGTCATCGGTCCACCTTGTAGGTAGACGTTCCACGCTGCGTTTTCCGGTACGCGGCCTCCATTCCAGAACCTTGCTGCCCCATCAGCCGTCAGTTCTGCGTACTATGTGCCCTGCCCATTGCCACTTCAGCTTGCTAATCCGTCGGGCTATGTCAGCGACCTAGGTCTAAAAACAGGCTATTCTTAAGGTCGACAAATTAATGTTATAGAGTCTATCTTTATGTGTTAGGTATTCAGAATAGGCTCCGAAAAAGCGGGGCTGGGTGTTAGCGTGCTTTAGACTAAATTATAAATATTTTGTTAATACTATTGCCATTTTTATTCAGTACGCTTCCCCAGTACCTATTTAGTCGTACCTATGTGAAATTCAGGGGCGTGTAATGATATTCTCCCAGTCAAAACCAATAATAACCAATGTAATTGTTCTGATTCCCAGGTTACACACAAACGACCAGCTACTAAGCGTAAATGGGGTATCCCTGGTGGGGCAGTCGAATGCTGAAGCGATGGAGACCCTTCGGCGGGCGTTAATACACTCGCGGCCGCACGTTCGAGGCAGCATATCACTTTCAATCGCTCGCCGAACTGGTAAGTGAAGGAACAGTCTTCCAATAAAAATATTAACGTAAATGCGCCTATTACCGCCAGTTTAAGCTGACTTCGGATAAACGTTAGAAAATTAGATATAAGACGTGGTGATAGAAAAGACACTTTAATTTATTTATAACAATGATGAAGTAATCTTTGAATTCAAGTAGTAACAATGAGTATTCAATCACACAATAATTAATAAATAGCAATTTAATCNGTACAAACGTACATCGGGTATATTTACGCACAACTTCTGCACAGATAAAGAAATGGTAAAAACCCTGCGTGGATGTTATAGACCTTGTAAAGTAAATACATTGTCGGTAAGAAAATGGGAAGACCAGGACACGGATGAACTAGTCTTGTACAGAAACGACGTACTTGAGAGAAGTAATAGTTAGAATAGGTCTTGTCTAAAAGCTACGAGCTCAAGAGAGGCAGTGGTAAAAACAATCGCGCGGATGATCAAGTCATGTATGTGAGCTTGAGACCGTAGTGGTAAGAACAGCATGTGACGTGTATATTGTCAACGTGCTTGAGAAAGGTGGTGGTGAGAAAAACGTTAATACTATATTACTATAAATTAATCGCTTTATCACGTACCTGAACCGGCTCTTGGCGGACTAAGAAACTCCAAAGACGGCCTGCAGGCGCCGCGCTGTAGAGACTCGCGTTAAATGGCGTATTGTGCTTTTCCAAGAGACATCTGAAAAAGAGAACATGATATTAGTACTCGATAAATCTATGCTAGGACATTTTTTGTACCAACTGAATGAGGACTGCCGCATTTACACTCTCTAGATGGCGCTACCCTTATAGCTCGCGCGTAATTATGTTGCTATCGCACTCGCACACTCACTGCGGGTGCCAGTCGCACAGTCGCGACAGCAATATAATTACGCGCGAGCGATAAGGATGGGTAGCTAGGGGTCATTGGACAAAATTCTACGTGCTCACGGACCAGACTATAGTAATCGACAGGATCTTACTTTACAGTCACGCTACCGTTCGGCTGCTCACAGCTTGTTATGGCTAGTACAGGACTATTCCCACCTCTCATTCTCACTGCAACTGCTGTGTAGCCAGGATCTACAGCTTGACCGCCAAAAAACTATTTACTATGATGTTATGGCCAGTAGGGTAAAGTACCCAATCATACGCCCCTGTACTTGTTGATGGGCGGGCCCGAGGTCTGCTGCTCGGGGAAGCAACCTGGGATGTAATCGGGCGGCGGCGCGCGTGACTCCAATACTTCGCTTAACTGTTGCTGCCACTGGTCTACGCGACGTAGTGCACCGTGCACTGTAGGGCTTGTTGTGGCTAAAGTCTGGTCTTCGAGCACGTAGAATTTTGTCCAATGACCCCAAGCTATCCTTATCGCTCGCGCGTAATTATATTGCTGTCGCGACTGTGCGACGGGCGCCCGCAGTGAGTGTGCGAGCGCTACAGCAATATAATTACGCGCAAGCGATTAGGATGGGTAGCTTGGGGTCATTGAACACAATTCTAAGTGCTCGGCGACCAGACTATAGTAGGATAAAGTGCTCTAACACGCACCTGTACTTGTTGATGGGCGGGCCCGAGGTCTGCTGCTCGGGGAAGCAACCTGGGATGTAATCGGGCGGCGGTGCACGTGACTCCAATACTTCGCTTAACTGTTGCTGCCACTGGTCTACGCGACGTAGTGCACCGTGCACTGTAGGGCTTGTTGGGGCTAAAGTCTGGTCTTCGAGCACGTAGAATTTTGTCCAATGACCCCAAGCTATCCTTATCGCTCGCGCGTAATTATATTGCTGTCGCGACTGTGCGACGGGCGCCCGGTGAGTGTGCGAGCGCTACAGCAATATAATTACGCGCAAGCGATTAGGATGGGTAGCTTGGGGTCATTGAACACAATTCTAAGTGCTCGGCGACCAGACTATAGTAGGATAAAGTGCTCTAACACGCACCTGTACTTGTTGATGGGCGGGCCCGAGGTCTGCTGCTCGGGGAAGCAACCTGGGATGTAATCGGGCGGCGGTGCACGTGACTCCAATACTTCGCTTAGCTGCTGCTGCCACTGGTCTACGCGACGCAATGCACCGTGCACTGTAGGGCTTGTAGTGGCCAGTTCTAGGGAGATACAACAGAATAATAAAACCTAATATCATCTCAAACATTTTTTAAAGCTAACAAAAATCGAGTTCGGATTGAAGACTGTTTGCCGAGCAACTGTTTATAAACCAATACGGTTTTACAGCTACGAAAACATTGCCATCTGGCGGATTTTTCAATCGCGAAAATCCTCATTCTAACGAAATGATCAAGATTATTTTATGTTGTGAGCTACACGACATAAGACGTTACAGAGCATACAAGTCTGGAGCACATGTGAAGTCTCGTTGATGTTTGACATCACAAAGACGCCCTCCCGGTCGCTTCCATACCTCAAACACTGACTTATATCATCGACTAATTCAAAAACTACTGTTTAATAAACGACGTCACCATCGGCTTTAACCCACTATAGAGCACAGCATGCTTAAAAAAATTATAGCTTTTCGACCTTATGTTAAGTGAATAAGGTTCAATTATCTATGCACATGTCGTGACAGCTTTTAATTAAGGCTAAAGCCTGGTCCTTGTCGCGCTCGCACACTCACTGCGGGCGCCCGTCGCACAGTCGCGACAGCAACATAATTAAGCGCGAGCGATAGGGATGGGTAGCTTGGGGTCATTGGACGGGATTCTACGTGCTCACAGACCAGGCTTTACACTTTAAACATGTATTGATTTCAATGTTTCTTTCCATTTGAGTGTGTATGTCTTGTTAGCTGTCCTTAAATAGGCAATATATTCCATAAAGCCCTATAAAAATTTGAAGGTCAAAAATAAATGATAATAATATAATTAGTACACGTACCCGACATCTCAATGCCGCACAGCTGCAAGAAGTGCTGCAGCTTGATCTGCGCGAGCCGCAGCACGGCCACGCGCATCACGTACCACGAGTACGAGTCCGGGTCCGAGTGCTCCGTGTTCGCGAACTTGCGACGCTTCTCGCTCCTAAAACAATGTGCATAAGGAATAAAATCGAGAAAAAGCAATTTTTTAAAGAATTCACCCTACGGTGGTAAGCTAAATATGATTGTATTACAAGTGAGTTCACCACAAAAGTCGAGCCCCGGCAGGGTTCGAACGGCTAGTCCGACGCCTTTATCGTTTGGCTNGAAATTCGCTGTTTTCGTAGGCAAAAATCCAATTTGAACGAGATTTTGTCAATAGACATTCCGGAAAAACGTATGATAATTACGATGGTATAAGTCAAAAGAAGCTATAACAATAAATTATATGACTAAAATCATTTCGAAATCTGCCAAATTCTCGATTTCTGCATGAAAAATGTGACAACGCTCTTAATATAAAAAATTAAAACCAAGTAATTTTTATACTTTGTATTTTTTTTAAGGCTAGATAGGGTTGCAACTTACTCTGATTGAAATGTTCAAGTGAGCGTTATTGTGTGTTGTGATTCCTGGCCCGACCATGACATGGAACGGAGTTTTTACTGTGGCACAAAATGGTAATTTAAATTATGTTTTACTGTGCCACTTATCCCAAGAATTTGTGCCGTTTATTAAACTTATTATATTTTATTCTATGCGTGACAGTTCGTTTTTCTTTATTACCGATTATCCGACTTTATTCTCTATTATCCGAATCGACCCCGGTCCCAATTAATTCGGATAATCGGCGTTCTACTGTAAATCAGATCTAACTTATCTTATAATTTTATCGATAAAGGTTAGAAAAAAATATTTGGACAACATTTGTATACTTGTGTGTACACATCTTGACAAAATGTCTGACTGGTATTACATAAATAAATTGTTTAGCTAAATTATGTCATGTAACAGTAGTAGAAAACAAAAATACATTGGTATTTATTTATTGAAAGTTATTTAATTCTTTCTTATCTCAACATAACAAACATGCGCCGCGCCGCCATGCTTTCGATACTGTTCGTGAATGTCAAATCTTATTCATGTTTATTATCTATATCGTTTGTTACGTCATAAATGTGTACAACTCATTTTTGTTTCGGTACAAAAAATATGCGTTTAAATATAATTGTTATTGTTATTGTTATTTTTAAATTGTGTATGAACAGGAAGTATTCTTCAAACACTGATGCACTACTAACTTTGATTATGCATCTTGATAAAAAGCACTATGCACTAGTACAAACTATTTTGGACTTAAAAATTACTTTATTCAATGTAAATCATGAAATAAATTTTGTTAGAAAAGTTTTTAACTGAATTTACATGTTATCTATAAATTAAATACGCTGTGCCAATGATTATTTGGCTGAGCGATGATGATAAGTGTTGAGTAAACAATAAATAAAATTACTTTTAATTATTTACCTACTTACCTCTTATTTTCATCGCTCGGCTCGCATCACTTACCTTACTATTACCATAAACTTTATAGATAACTGAAGATGTACAGCTAGACTATGCCGAGATTACCTCAGTACCGCCGCTACCTCTATGGACACTCCTTGTCGCAGACAAAGAGTCTCCACATCATCCGTCCACTATACAAGAAGCTAAGGTAAATTATTTCTTCAATTCCTCTAATATTATACTTAACAGAAATATTTTTTATCTCTGGTCCTTAACAACTCGATGAAATATAAATCTACCGACAAGTCACATCCTTTTAAAACCTGGAGGACTATACACATATATGGGGCGTGGCATGATTTATAGCATAATTATCCCTTTTTTTATTTTTGCCACGCCCACTTCAACGAAGTAAAAAATGAGTCAGTTGTATGACAGTGACAGTTTTAATGTGACAAGTGCAAAAATATCAATTGAATGGGTTATCAATGGGAATATCAAATTCATATATAAATTATTGCAGGATTACAACGTATTATTCGAGGGGACTATGCTCGACACAGACGAGGATTTGGACGCGTTGTTACTAGGCGACGACGAAGGTGTCGACCGCAGGCCTTCGATGCCTGAACGACAGCCTCTGTCGCACTTCGGTCCTAGGCAAGGTAATGTAAAACTTTTGTGTTGGCAATTAGGTTGATCCTTGCATAGATAATACAGACAGGCGACATCGTCTCGTCAAATGACAGCAGTGTCTCACAACTAGTCTACGACCAGTATGTGTTGCCAATGATGACCAACGGAATGGAGATGTGGTCCCTTCCCAAGGCCTTTATAAAAAAGCTAATAGTCACGCGATGGTCAATGAAGCATGCTATGCTAGAGTTAAACTATAGTCAGGACCGAATCAGAAATAAAGAAAGCTATAGAAGAACCAAAATAGCGCACAGAGTTGCCATATTTAAGCTCGTACGATTGTCTCTTGACATCCTGATAATTTTCTCAGGTCGCATCCTGTCACGTCTACTCACACACACTCACCTTCCCGGACTGAGTTCGCTAGACCAGATGCATTTGTTAGCGCTGGCGGACACTGTGTCGACGTGTGACGCAGACTTCGCCGAACGATTCGCAGCGAACGCGCGTGTTGATATCTCGCAAGGAACTGGTCAAGAAATAGTACCTGGTAAGTGCTATTATTGGTAGAAGCCTGTGGCCTCATTCACGTAACAAAACTTCAACGACATGCAAGCGATTTGTCACTTTTCGTATTTGATCGTGCCTCCGCGGTATTCACCTATTACTTATTTTGAAGTTTGGTGCCAGTGATTAAAAGTCAAGTGACAAATCGCTGAGTTGCGATCCTATTGACTAATCGTTCTATCGAAATGACACTTGAATACGGATTTAGGACTGTTTTTCAATAGAACGTCTTCTAAAATATGTCAACCACATTTTAAGCATCAAAATACGTGAATTAGGCCACAGGTATTATTTGTAATTTAGTATCAATAACATAAATCTAACAATTTTGATAACATACACATAACATTTTCCGTGCAGCAGTAGATATTCGTTCATTTGGGGTGTGGTTTGTAAACTTAAGTGGGACCATAAAAATATTGATTAGTCAACCTTTTTGTTGTTCAGTATAACAGCAATACAACTTTCAGACTCCCTGGATGACTGTGGTCTCCGATTCTTACTGGCCATGAAACACTACGGCTACCTACTGCGTTGCTTGCCGCTAGCGCAGCGGGCTAATTTACAAAGGAATGGAGTGGGTACTTGCAACCTTGTGTGGGCATACCACTCTGAGACTCATGAGCAACTTTTGGCTTTGATCCCTGGTTATGCTAAGGGACAACCGAAATGGACGACAATGCGTGAATTAGGTAAGTGAAATTCATCAAACTCTTCAAACCAAAACTATATAAAAATATTTGACATATTTTATTTGGAATCAAATATTCTATTTAAAGAAAGAAAGAAAAAATATTTATTTGTTACTAAATGATACACATTGACATGCTTCAGTTGTCTAGTGTTACTATTAAGCTTTCAGAAGTAATATTTGTTAATTTTTGTAGGCGTGGGTTGGTGGGTAAGTGGCGACCTGCTCCGTATATGTGTAGAACGCCTCGCACGCGCAGCCTACATGGCCAAGCAAGACCCGATGGATGCAGCACTATACTACTTAGCTATGAAGAAGCGAATGCTACTGTGGGGTCTATTCCGATCCAATCGCGACGAAAAGATGACCGCGGTAAGTACACAAAACAGTACATAAATATGAATATTGAATCTTAAGGACAAAGCTCAAGATCTGTTTTTGTTTACAGTTCTTCGCGAACGACTTTTCCGAAGATCGCTGGAGAAAGGCAGCTCTAAAGAATGCGTTTGTTTTATTGGGTAAACAACGGTTTGAGCACGCAGCCGCTTTCTTCTTATTAGGAGGTGCACTCAAGGATGCTTTGGAGGTAAAATAAATCCTTGTTCAATAAGAACTTCTAAAATTTATTGAAAGTACCTACTATAAATATTTTTTGATTTTAGGTGCTAATCACACGATTGGGAGATTTGCAACTGGCAATGGTGGTAGCTCGACTATACGAAAGTGACAGCACACTTCCACCCAGTTTGAAAAAATTGCTCATGGATGAAATATTAGGGTGAGTCTTCAACGTTAGCCTAAGTTTTTAGGGTCACTATTGTATACATTAAAAAAGCGAATGCAAACTTATTGTTGACTTATTTTCAGTGGTGAGACAGAAACCGGTGAGATTGAATTGGAGCGCGCCCACCCGGACCCGTTCGTTCGTTCAATGGCGCTCTGGGAACTAAAGCGCTATGGAGAAGCACTAGACACACTATTGAGCCCCGGCGGCCGATTACACGCGGCACGCGAGACGCAGAAAGACTCAGAGCCTATGCCCAGCGTGTTTAACTTCTACGTGTATCTACGAACACATCCGAGACTCAAGCGACACAATATGCCAACGCAGGTATGTCAAACTTCTGTTACATGTATTTTTGAGTCATCATTTTTGGTAACTGCCTATCAATTTGTCACAGTTTACCAACTTTTCTAATAGAACACATCATTTTCTTTTTTTAAACTAATTTGATAAGAAATTAGTCCAGTAACTGCAAAATGGTGAGGTCATTATCCTACGATGCCTGGAAGACTCTCATTTTGACAGCTCTTTGATTGCTCGTGTCAAATATCCTATTGGCTTGGAGTTACATAAGCATGTGAAATAAAGCTTCGTCTATGTACACAACTTTAGCTTATTATTATTGAAATATCATCTGAATAACGCTTATATTTTTGTCCCCAGGGTGGCACACTGGCCCTACTACAACAAGAGCCCGAAGAGAGTATAACCCGTTTAGAAAGACGACTTTACTTCCAAACTGCGCACGGGCACTTCAAAGCAGGCTGTCCCGCTCTAGCTTTGGAGGTCCTGTCCAAACTCCCCGCGCGGGTCCGAGATGAGAAAGCTAAGCAACCAGTGTCTATGCCTTCGGTCGACGACGCTGTTATACATACGGGACAACTGGGCGGGGACTCGACAGCTAAAAGTACGTGTCGTAAATATTATTGTTGTTTGTTCAAACTGCAGATATTTTTAGATGAAATGCAAGTGTTAACTACAGAAGTCGTTAATAACATTTAAATTGTAAACACTGAAATAGGGCTACACAAATGTTTGTTGTGTCCCACACCTTTATTATAACCCGTATTTAACAGTTATCTCTGTCAACAATTCGGGGCTCGTTTCGTAAAATTGGTTATTTTTATGTTAATTGATTTCTAAAAACACCTTTTTATATTTTTTTACCTAGCTTCTACCCGTGGAATAGCTCGCCTAAATTACAAACTGTCATTCAATCTTAAAAAAAAAGAACCGGCTTTTCAGCAATCATGTTCTCTATGTTTTTCAAACCAAGTAAATGTCTATTTTGCTCACTTATTTACTCGTGTATCATCAACAGAGGAAGAAGAGGCCCCAGCAGAGAACAACATGGACTGGGCTTCGACGCCAGCTGAAATGGACTGGGGCGCGCCCGTTAGCACTATAAAATCAGATGAGCTCGTACTCAGCTGGGATGACGAGGAAGATAAAGGGTAAGACCACTCGCAATATTGGTTTTTAACTTTATCTTCGCTATTTGGGCGTTGAAAATAAAGGCCTATTAAAAACCTGAGCGATATTCGCTGCCGCTGTGGGTAGAGGTACATACAGCGCGGGTTTCGCTCTGGCATTTAGTATCAAGTATCGCGGCTAGAGCGACCTGAGCGATATACGCTGCCGCTGTGGGTAGAGGTACATACCACGCGGGTTTCGCTCGGTAGCGAATACCGCTTAGGTCTGAACAGTATTATTACCGCATACCCACTGGGTTTTCTCTGCTGCAGACGGTAGCGAATACCGCTTAGGTCTGAATAGGCCTTTATCCCATACTCACTAGTTAAGTCAAATGGTTCTAGTAATTCTTAATTGGGTAGATCTTTGCACATTTTTTTAGGCAACCTGATTGTCCAAGGAGAATATGTTTCCGTGTTTCCCGATTTCTATTCTGTTGGCAGTTTCGACATAGTCGAATAAATGCATCAAAACTGGAACTTTCCACATGGCTGGTAGTTCAAATTTAGCTTATCTGCATCGCGATCAAAGAAGACGCATAATATCAAATGTTATAATTTAGATCCGAGGGATCCGGAGCATCGACCCCGCCATTAGAAATGAAGATGGACAAGCAAGAAGCAGCTCCGTTAGTCAACGGCATCTCCGAAGAACACGAGCACGAGCCAGAGAAGAATGAGACACCGCCTGTGGACATCATGGCGCAACAGCTCAAGTTCGTGGCCTGTCTCAAGATACTCATGGAGGAGTTGAGCACGCTTGCCACTGGGTTCGAAGTCGATGGTATGTGTATTCTATAGTCCTAATCCTTGCATTCTGTAGGATTGAAGGAAGAATAGAAACTTCAGTACGAGACGCCGCCTGTTGACATCATGGCGCAGCAACTCAAGTTCGTGGCCTGTCTCAAGATACTCATGGAGGAGTTGAGCACCTTGGCCACTGGATTCGAGGTCGATGGTATGTATACTCTATGGTCCTTGTATTCTGTAGGATTGACAGAAGAAGAGGCACTATAGAATGAGACACCGCCTGTGGACATCATGGCACAACAGCTCAAGTTCGTGGCCTGTCTCAAGATACTGATGGAGGAGTTGAGCACCTTGGCCACTGGGTTCGAAGTCGATGGTATGTGTATTCTATCATCTCGGAAGATAATGACCACGAGCCTGAGATGCTTTTGAGTTGAAAACTGTTGTATTTTCCTCCCGTAAAAAAGACAATGTCAAGTTATGTAATATCTAAGTTTTTGCCATAGCTTCAGTAGGGTGGCGAAGCCTATATAAATCCTACTTCCTTCCTACTAATAATATTATAAATGTGAAAGTTTGGATGTCTGGATGTTTGTTACTCTTTCACGCAAAAACTACTGAACTGAGTTTGATGAAACTACAGTATTATTGTTTATAACCCAGAATAACATATAGGCTATAATTTATGACGATCTGTGACAATCGAAATTTCACGCGGGTGAAGCCGCGGGCAAAAGCTATTTAATGATGATTCTTTTATTTTTCAATCCAAATACAATGCCGAAAATTTTCGAAGATTACAATATTTCGTGCCACTTAAACGCTGCAACATTTCGCACATGCTTGGTAACTTATTGACTAAACCACTTAACTGACCCTTCTTTATATCCAGGCGGTCACCTCCGCTACCAACTGTACATCTGGCTAGAACGCGAAGTGGAGGCTTTGCGGCGTCTCTGTGGTTACGCCAGCGCTAGTGGCGCCCCCACAGGCGGTGAACTGATATGCGCCGACCAAGACCCGCCGCCGCTGCCTGAGAAACCCACGCTGCATCAACTGCTTGTTAGGGAGAAGGCGGACTTTGAGGCTAAGGTGCAACGCGCTGTTAGGAGGAAGAAGTGGCTCAAGGGTGAGTGATGTTTATTATTAAAAATAACCTAATCTGGCCAGCTGTTGGTCCATGTCGAAGCTTAATATAACAGCTATTTATATTTAAACGAATAAGTACAAAGTGAAATGTGTTGAGAAATTACAGAAAGATCCCTAGATACCTTTTTTATTTATTTCGAGAAAATGAAAACACCGGTGTTCACAAGAGTAAAACTATACTTACGAGCAAAAGTTTGGAATCACCCCTTTGTGTTCCGAGCGGTCTTAAGAACTGAATGACTACGTATTGTATGTATCTATGGTATCAATTTTAAGCTTATAATATCACCTTTAAAATGGTACCAGTTTTATTGAACTTCTATTAGTCATTTAGTTCTTATGATCGCTCGGAATAAATGGGGTGATTCCATATTTTTGCTCGCGAGTGTAGTAACCTCCGTTAGTTTTCACTCCCTCATTTAATGCAATGCCACGTGACCTTGTATGAGACTGTGAACAGGCATATGCCCGCACCAGTCTTCTGTCTTATAAAAATGCTCTAGCAACACGTACACATCTTTCCCTTTGCAGCCAACGAGACACTCCTCCGGACTCTCCTATCGTACTGTTCCCTCCACGGCGCCGGCGGTGGCGGCCTGGCCTCCGTCCGGATGGAGCTAGTGTTGCTACTGCAAGAGCTGGGACAAGACAAACAGCACCAGCAACTGCTGTCGCCGCTGCCGTTCCCAACGACTCTGCCGCTGTTGGCTGCGGCTGTGGCGACCAATAACACGGTTGTTGCTGATCCTGTGAGGCACTTGCAGGTAAAAAATATGTGAAGTGTCCTATACATCAAAATATGTGGTCTTATACTCTTTTAATGTGTTAGAGAAACGGCTACAAAATATGTGTTCTTATCCTCTTCTATTGAATGTGTGGGAAAAACGGAAAGAGGCTAAGTTTCGCAGTCATTATGCACCGTACAAAAATATGCAATGTAAGCGTATCTCGAATAATAAGTAATTTATAAAACGAAATATTATTATCATTAGGTGATTTAGTCCCTACTGTACGAACACGAACTTCTTCAATTTTACCAGATGCAAATTCCAAATGGAGGTTTTAGTCCTATACTCCCCACACTGGCTTAGCGATGAGGAAAACTCAATATATTTTTTATTCATTCAAGATGCTCTGTTTTCGAATATCTGTGCATTTATGAGACTGATAAAATTGACAAATTAATAATCGTATTTTGTATGCCAGTCCGTAGCCCACGATATGCTCGGAACGATAAGCGAGCTTGGCATCCCGGGTGGTTCCGCCACGAGGATTCTGCACACGTTGCGAGAATTAGCCGTAGCACTGTCCGCTTGCATCTATCAGAGTCTCTGCGACTCGGATACGTTTAGCATGAAGCATACACATCATCATGATGGGTGAGTCTTTGATTTTGTAGTTGACGTATACAGGATGGGTGAATCAAACTGAAGTCAAAATTTTTTTTCCATATTTTTTAGGGATTGTACATTAGTAGAGCTACCTCCCCTATCAGTTTGATTCACCCATTCTGGGACACCCTGTATTTGTAATGCAAAGTCACGGAAGCAGTGTGTGTGAAAGTCTTATCATGACGTATGCACCGCCCAGTAACAGTATGAGCATACTTGATTTCTCGATATGTGATAATTTACTAAGCAAAAAATATACAATAATTTAAAATCATTTCTAAATCGTGCCTTACAATTTTATTATTGAAATGATTCGACCAAACCACTCACTACCCCCCTGTTCTAACAATACTGATTGAATTACTTATTTAATTTATTATCCTTTCAGTATGGTACATGACCACGCTCCTGCTACGACCCATTTGATTGCTCGACCGAGACGTCACTCTGTTGAAGAACTTACTGTTTCGACGACACCTAATAAATGGCCTGGTGAGTATTTCATGCACCTTAATTAATGTTTTTTTAAGAATGTGTATTTACAAACCTGTTAACATATCTGTTAACCCCTTGTGGTAAACTAAATGCTTTTCTCCGAAGTGTAGCCTGTAGAAAACCGTTAGAGAAGCAACTTTACGGCGGTGGTCAAGTTCCTGGAGCGACGCTTCGACAAGGGTCGGGCTGTCGATTAGTCTCCTGGCACGCCTTTCCACCGAATCCAAAGCAGCCAAATGTTTCTTGGCAGAGCCGCCCCAGAGGTGGCAGCAGTATTCCATGCAAGGTCGGATCTGTGCTTTAATATGGCATTCATGATATCGTATTGTTTTAGGTGTGTCCGCACTACGCGGTTTAGCTGTGCGAGCGGCGGAAGAAGAAGACGCGCCTAGACTGGCCGTGTTACTGGCTGAAGCGTTCTGCGCAGTATATCTAGCTCTATTGGGTTGGGCGCTTGCCGCACGCGACGCTCACTTGTTATACAGACTGGCAGCTCAGAACCCAGAAGCTAAAGCGCATGCTTCGCTGTTCGGAGGCGGTGTGAGGCGACTGCTTATGACCGCACCCGCTCCACCACCGGTAAGTTTCCTAAATTAAGCTTTACCCGATGAGTTCTGTGCTGTGTATCTAGCTCTGCTAGGCAGGGCGTTGGCCGCACGCGATGCTCACTTGTTATACAGACTGGCAGCTCAGAACCCAGAAGCTAAAGCGCATGTTTCGTTGTTCGGAGGCGGCGTGAGGCGACTGCTTATGACCGCACCGGCGCCACCGCCGGTAAGTTTCTTCAATTTTAGGTGTAATTAATGCGTTCCACGCAGTATACTGGTTTTGGCACTGGGCACTGGCTGCCTGACTTATTAAACGGCTCAAACCCCGTAAGCGAAAGCACATGCGTCTCTTCACTTTTAGTCTTAGCCGAGGCATTCTGCGCTGTATAGTTCTGCTGGGCTAGAAGCTGGCCGTTCGTGATGCTGATTTATTATACAGACTGGAGGCTAAGAACCCAAAGGCGCATGCATCTCTATTCGCAATAACGAATAAAGGTGTAGTTATTATAAATCGTCAAACAGATTATTATGTGTGCTTAAAAATGCACTCTTAAATAATATAAAATGTAAGCAGACTGTCTAATAACCATTGTTAAAATTGTGTATCTTCCACCCAACAGCCAAAACTGGAGCGCACTGAGGGCACCTCAGTCTGGTCATCGTTACGCGAGAAACGCGCGCTCCTCAACATGCGTATACTCGGGCTCGGGCCTACAGCGCCCCACAAGAACATACAAGAAGGCCGACCTACATATAGGGAGCAGTTCGTACCGCCGCATTGCAGTATACTCACGTATTTGCTTACTAAGGTAACTATAAGTTTGTTTTAGGGAATAAAAAGGGCAAATACTTTCGAAACTGTTGTCAAGTTTTATTCTATACTAGCTTTTGCCCGCGGCTTCACCCGCGTGAAATTTAGTTTGTTACAGATCGTCATAAATTATAGCCTAATGTTATTCTGGGTTATAAACAATAATACTGTAAAGAAACAAACATCCACACAAACTTTCGCATTCATAATATTAGTAGGATCATCTATCGCGTAAAAATCCTGACTTCAATTTATGGAGCACTCTTTACCATTTTACATGGCTGTAATCGGCCAATAGTATTCTTTGCGAATTGAAAAGCATGTAAACATAATTCTTAATTGTTTTTTCAATATCGCAATGTCCTAGCTGTGATTTCTAGCTCTAATGTATTACAAAATAAGTCTTTTTAAAATTTTACAAAAACATATTAAGGAATCAATTAGATTGTATTTACTGTCAACCACTCTCCATCATAGAACCTGGGTGGAATTGTTATCAAGAACATAGTACATAAAAAATATAAATGATACATGAAGTCAATAACAACAATTAATCTGAAGCATTCTAAACCCTATGGCTGATGCAATACGGTACACCAATGAAATACATTCCATGTTCTTTCTACAGCCAACCACGGACCAAGGCTCGTGCCACGACTACGACTACGACTCGGCGGAGTCGGGCGCCGAAGACGCGGAAGACAGCGGCAGCGAGCCCGATGACGATGACATCTTCGACACCACTGTCAAGTGAGTTCTGAAGTGATGCTGTCAAATAAAACGGTGACATCTATATACAGGGTGTCCCGTAATGTAACGTCAAGCCGGAACTGGGTGTTGAGGCAAGTTGTGCTGGTTATCAGAAAAATATAAAAAAAAATCTATGTGGCATATTTTAAAAATAATAGGCATTTAAAAAAAATCAAAAAATACTTTATCGTTTGGCTATTGTCACTTGAAAGGGTAAAACAGAACATTTAAGTTGAAAACCGAATTTAAAGTGTGATGCAGGAGTATAGATAGGGCATCCTATGTAGTTTTGTTGGGGCATATTATGTTACAAGATTTTTCGAAATAATGCTATTAATACTGCTAGGAAGCGTGTCTATACTGAAGGCCGAAGCAACCCTATGCTTGCTTCGGCCCGCATCTCAAAATTCTCAAACAAATATAATATAACAAGTAGCATTGTAAAATTTTTATCTAAGGGTATTTTACTGCAACTCGTCTTTATTAAAAAACTAGCTGACCCTGCGAACTTTGTTCCGCCTTAATGGCAATAAATAAGCAGACTTTTTTTTTAATTTCGAACGGGATAAAAAGTATCCTATGTCCTTCTCCTGGCTCTAAACTACCTCCCTGACAATTTTCAGCTAAATCGGTTCAGCCGTTCTTGAGTTATAAGTGGAGTAACTAACACGACTTTCTTTTATATACAGGGTGTCCCGTAATGTAACGTCAAGCCGGAACTGGGTGTTGAGGCAAGTTGTGCTGGTTATTAGAAAAATATAAAAAAAAATCTATGTGGCATATTTTAAAAATAATAGGCATTTAAAAAAAATCAAAAAATAGAAAAATACATTACTTTTTTCACTTCTTTTTCAGTTATTTTCCAACACAAGAAAAACCGGGTCGTTAAGGTATGTTTTATTTGCATTGTATTATTAGTATTTGAGCTATTCTACAAAACGAATGTAAATTTATTAGTCTACGTCTATTAGTTTCGACGTAATTGTTGAACAAAGATACCCCTTCCCAGCGGTTTCCATAGCGCACGCGACATGCGAAAATGCACTGCCTGAAAGAATCACACAACCTATTCCGATTACTATGGAAACCGCTAGGAAGGGGTATCTTTGTTCAACAATTACGTCGAAACAAATAGACGCAGACTAATAAATTTACATTCGTTTTGTAGAATAGCTCAAATACTAAAAATACAATGCAAATAAAACATACCTTAACGACCTGGTTTTCCTTGTGTTGGAAAATAACTGAAAATGAAGTGAAAAAAGTAATGTATTTTTCTAATTCAATCCATTCTTACTCCTATAAAATGTATGAAACTTGTGTCTGCTTTCTTCTTCAACTAATAGACAATTTTATTGGCTGTCGTATGATATAAAATATTTGTCTATTAATGTTAAGCTACCCACGCTTTCACTTGTTTTTTAAAGAAGAGGTGTAAACTAAAAATTAAAAACTTAAATCGGTGTAATTTTTCGAGAAATGGGTCAGGCCCCAAATTTGAAGTATTTTTATCGATAAAATTGTCCCTAGATTTTGCCCTTAAAGTTTGATCACTACAAGCCCGGACACACTGTATATGCTGAATACATTAAATTCTATCTCTATTTCACTGCTAAGTAAAAGTCATGCAATAAGTACCTACATTCTGAGAACTAAAGGAATATTTTAGAACCATATTAGACAAGCCCCCTACTCGGTTGACCGATGACCTGTTGAAGGTCGCGGGAAGCGCCTGGATGCGAACAGCACAGGTTCGGGTGATTATGGCAATCCTAAAAGAAGGTCTAGCAGTGGATATCTTTTAGTTGAAAAAATGTACTAACAAAGATCACACAGGGGCCCAAAACAATTTTGCCTTCGACAATAAAAATCTCCACTCCGATTCTGTCTGTAAAGAATGGAATTTATATTAGAATAGGCACTTGTAGTGCTATAGTGCTGGTATGCACCATCCTAGACTGCATCTCACTTGACACCAGGTGTAATTGCAGTAAAAAAATTCTGCATTTTTTTTTTCTGCATAAAAATAACTTATTTTATGTTTTCTTTGTAACAGCCCCACAGCAGAGCAGGACTACAACGGCTGGTGGCACGGCCTCCGCATCGTCGGGTTCTGTCTGTCGTTCCTGAACAGCTGTGTCAACCCCATCGCCTTGTACTGCACCAGTGGAATCTTCAGGAAACATTTTAATAGGCGAGTCTAAAATTTAAATAACCTAGATGGTATGGGAAGGTTCGAGTAAATAGGAATAAATTTTATGAAGCCACGATAGACGAACGGGAACGACTATTGTAGTGAGCCCCCACTCGTAACACAAGCATGTAGCTTAGTAATTGTGCAATAGGATCACAGAGTGCAAAGTCATCATAGAATAGGAAAGATTGGGATAAAAGGTCATAAACTCTTGGATCTTGGATAAACTCTACCTGATTCTGACCACAAGAGAGGATTTGCGAGTTTACACTCGTGAAGCTACTGAACACAGCCTATCTTAATCAATTATAAAAAATCCTATGATTTACATCTAGCTAGATGATGCTAGAATTGTGCGTTCCACACTTTTCTAAAAAGCTCTGGCTCCTTTATTCAGTTACCTTAACCTCTGGCTTGTTTACTACTAATAACGCAACAATATTATTCTAACTAGGTCGTAGCATCATAATTGCCAAATAGACTCCGTCTTCGGCCTAATAATTTTACTTCAAAGCGAACTGTTATTAATATTTTCAAATTTCAAATATCCATTGTCTTCAAGCTATAGTTAATCAATTAACTCCAAGCCTGTATTACCAAACTCAATTTCATTAATAAAGCGAACGTAATTCATGAATTTTACCCGTATCTGATACCGTAATGTAAATACTCTATAGTGATGTTGGGAAACACCCAGCATAAAACATTTATCACGGCTAGTTTCTGTTGTGCACACAAAGCTTTAATTGTTATGGCGAGTTCGTTACACGACTCGAGTGGAGATGATAATGCTGATACACGTGATAACGTGATAACATCTATGCAAAACACGGCTGATGCGAATACCAATAATAATTGAAATATTGAACCAGAGAACTGAGATTCTAATAAACTAACTAATCCAAATCTATACGGATAATTCATAATTATGAATGGGACAACGAATTCTGCTCGCGCTTTTAAAAATTTAACACTGGGCCGCAAAAAAAGGGTCGTTAAAAAAATCTTGAATATCTTTAAAAGTACCTGGACCAGCTTTATGAACCAAAACATTCTAGAAAAACTACGCATTTTTATTTATTTTACATTTATTAAAAAAAAATAAACTTGAATTATTTTTTAATAAAGCTAGGTCACTTTTAAAGATATGAAGATTTTCTAACTAACCCTTTACTTTGCGGTCCAGTGTATGTGAAAAGCTAGGTCAATTACTTTTGAAGACATTGAAGATTTTCTAACCAACCCTTCGCGGTTCAGTGTATGTGAATTTAATGGAGAAATTACCATCATTAATCTCTGTAGTTTTTCTTATGAATTTCTTAGAAAGATTCATTCATGTCTGGAGGAAAAATACCAAGCTGTAACAGCAGATAAAACAAGTTATTGGACCCGATGACAAAACGCAAACACGCGAATGTCAATGAAGAACGAAGGATCAAGACACAATAAATATTTATTTAGTCCCATTATTTCACGCCCAATCAACTTCTCGTGATCAACAACTCTAAATCGGCAATAAATTTCTTCAGCCTTCAACAAACAAGGGAAAAACACTGGGGTTTCTTTTCAATGTGTAAATCTCTAGAGTGCGTGGTCGAAAGCCAATCACGACGAAAGTTGCGAGGCATCGATCAAGGTCCCGCTAACGACAAAGTTACGAACTTCTTGCTTCTCCAGTCAAGACATGCCTTTCTTAAGTGCCCAAAATAAATGTGGAATGTACACAATCTAGTTCAGGGTTAGCACAATGTAAAATGCAGGAATTCGGAATACTTTTTGATTTGAAGCATAGAGAAATTGTACCTGGAATATTCAATTTATTAGTTAATGGAGCAAGCCTCTATTTTTTAAGCATTTTGAAAAATACCCGATGTTTTCTGAAACAAACAGTGCTATTTCGTCAGCAGGCGATTTGAGATATATTTCGCCTAATTTTGACCTTGACAACCGTGATTTTCATGTCCCATGGGCATCAAGGTCACGCGATCCTGTATCAGGGAGCTGTATCTTATCCTCATACCTCATGAATCCCCTTTTGAATGTCAAACGACCTCATTTCCGAGTGCTGACAACACCCTAAGGCGCAGTAACTTGGCCATATATTTATCCAAGGCTGTGCGTGATTGTAAAAACGGGAAACCAATCGACAAAAGTCGCGAGCATCGATCACGAAAGTTCCGAACTTGTCTCGACATTCCCCTAAGTGCTCTCCAGAATGTTGGACGTATCCGAGTGGAGGGTCAGCACTTTAAGGTCTAACTTTGAAGCTAGGCTTCATAACTGGTCCGTTTTCTGAAACTTTGTAGGTATTTCACGACTACAAAGAAAATTGAAGTTTCGAGTATAACCTCCTGGGGCCTGGCGTCATATATTTATTACATAAAACAAAAAAATATAAATCAACGCTATCTGTTGAAATTTACCAGAACTTTTACGTTAGTTAGTTAGATGGTGCATCTGTCCATCATTCTTAGCTGTGATTGGCTAGTGAAGTGACATTTATATTTTTTTATCTTTAATTGAACTAGCGACGGCGCCGCGACCGGGAACAAGTGGTTAGTAATCATGAATTTTTTACTAAAATATGAATGATTTCTATAAACCTTTGTTATTATTCGTTTTGGGATTTGAACTGTTTTATTATCTGAGTATCACTGATTGTGGAAATACGTATGAAAACTACGAAAACCATGGTGAAATCTGAATGTCATACAGGTATTACATGAGGTCCCAATTACTAGTGTAAACTGACAGAGCCCAGTGTAATACCTGTATGACATTATACATTTTCTATTAAATAGCATACAATCTGATATTATTTTCTTATTTGTTTAGGTAGATATATGCGAATATAACATATTAGAACACTCAAAACTCGATTTTACTGGTAAAGTCGGCCCAGAAGTATTATCAACACCTCAAGTCACTTTGATTTTTTTTTATGAAATTAAAATAATTTCATTAGGCACTTAATCAAATTGTTTTTTAATTTTTTTTATTGCTATTGACCTTATCTACATCACTTAATGTTAATTACACATTGGTGTGATGCATTTTTTTATCACGAGGATTTTTTAATTTGAGTCATCCATATGAAATGCAATAAAATTTTGAAATACTATTTAAAAAAAAATAGAGATGCAATGTTATTGCCCAAAAATGACATAAAACTTGATAAAGAATCTATCTAGCTACATTTTACCGAAAATGTACTTAAAAAATATCAACATTTGCATCCACTGCATAGAAAAGAGTAAGTACAGGCAGAAAAAAAATTAAAAATATGTAAAAAATATTTTGGCATCTCAATATATTTCAAAAATCGATTCAAATTCGTTGTAGATAGTCAAGAAACTTAACTAGGAATTACTTTTGTGCAATTTATTACGGGAAATCCTGTACATGAAATAAAAAAGTCGTTGACATTGGGAACCGATGTCGTAAATATATGACATTGAGAAAATTGCCGTTTTCCAGATAAAAATTTTTATTTTATTTTTTAAGATAATTATATCAATTATTAATACTATTTGGATAGTTTTCATATGAATTCACGATAAAAATAATTCCCGGGCCCCAGGAGGATAATTGTAGCTCATGACTATGACGTCTGTGTAACTTTATTTTATTTATTTTAAGGACAGCCAACAAAGCATACACCTTATCTAATATAACCTTAATACATCAAACATTATGTGGTGTTGCCTTACTTAAAGGCTGCCACGGCATGCAAATAAGTGTACTACTAATAGAAGGCAAACACAATTTCAATTTTCTTTTCTCTTTTACATAAATCATGTTTAGAGTCTACAGTTCGGTTCGTTTATATGTACTTATAACCCGTGTACCTACCATGAGTTTACGTTTGGTGTGCTCGCTAGCGAAAACGTCAAAAAATTCTATGAAGATTTTATTTCTTGAAAGTAGCCGCTGCACAATATGTCATACATTTAAATGTCATTTTTTTACGCAGTCGCTAGCGAGCACACCTAACGTAAACTCATGGTAGGCCCACTGGATTTGACTTAATTTTGTGGACAGAAAATAAGGCTACCGGAATTGCATTATTAATTTATAATTAGATAACGCATAAAAAACTCTAAAATATGACTTATAGTATATTTTGTACCTTTGCGGTATATAAAGTTAACAAATAAGAAAAGAATACCTACCAACATACTTATTGGTGAGTTAGGTACGAAATAACTTATGCGGTCTGTTAGAACAAAAGCTATCTCAAACGAAGTAGTATTTTTCATACATGAAACATTTATCAGCTACCTACGAGTATTTAAGCCACATAAATACCAAAACCATCTAAATCCTAAAACACTTTGGGCCTAGTTGGTACCTACATAATTGTTTTTTGTAGGTACAATTTTCTCTGAGTTGGTTAAAGTGAATTGTGCGGTCCTAATAAATCTTAGTTACATGGTGTAGGCGAAATAGGACTCTATTTCTACAATAGAGGATAATGTAGAAGAAGTAGAAGTTATTTATTTGGGAATGTAATTATGTCGCATTCTCAGGAAATTGTTATTTGTTTTATAGAGCAACAATAAAAAGGTTAAGGTTTTTCCTCCCAGTGAAATAATAATGTTTTCAGTATGATTGCTCAATACTCAATAAGTTTATTGCTTCCATAATAGTAATGTAGGTAATAATAGAATCAATTTGAAAATTCTTTTCTAATAGCTGAATAAAGAATATCTATCTCATTATATTATTAACATGTCAACTCTTAACTCATTGTGATATCGGCAGAGAAAATTCTAGAAAGTGACGCTAACTAACTAAATTAGACAAGATTAATCATAAATAATTTCAATAGACCTCAAAAAGTTTTTACGAAAGATGTTTCCAGACTTCCAAAGTTTTCACTTAGCTTTTTAAAAATTAGGCGATCATTCCAACTTAGGATGATTTCATTAGTAGTGATTCCTTTTATCAACCTAACTCAGTTTAAGTTTTAGCATCTATTTACATCAAAAATAAAAATGTAAG